ATGGTTGTGGGTGTGGTTCAGGTTTGAGTTTCATTCTTGATTTGGCAGATTTGGACAAGACATTCATGGAATTGCCTCCATCAATGACTACTTTGMACACAGCATCCCTACATTTAAAATAGTATTGAAAAATACTAGTGCACCTCCAGTCATCWATCTCAGTGGGAGTAGACAAAATGCACTCATAACATTAAGGTGGTGATCATCAACACAACCTTGGTCTTCTTCAAATTCAGACTCAGAGGGTTCCTCTAAAGACTCAACAACTTGATCAACATCTTCAACCTCAAAAGATTCTTCTACATCTGTGCCTATGGTTAAATTTTGATTTTGACAATGTGAAGCAACATGTCCTTCACCATGAAAACTAAAACACTAAATGTTAAACACTTTTTGTCGTGAACTAGAAGTAGTGTTAGTGTTGGTTCTCTGAACAAGATTGTTACTACCACTAGGCATTATTGGTTCTGACTATGTAGGCCTATTGGTCCTTAGAAAAGACACTGACTTGGACATGGATTTGAGTGCTTGGTTCTCTCCAACTTGGGAAGACATTTTCCAAAAGGTAGAAAACTTTTGGAACTTTTCAAGCTCTAAGGCCGTATGGTAAGCCTCTTCTATGGTGTCAAGAATATGCAAATTCAGCACCCTTTTCAATTCAGGTCTCAATCCATTAATGAACTTAGTGAGATTCACCCATTGTTCTTCCCTTATATCACCTTTCATAGACAAGTCCTCAAATCGATTAAGGTAATCAGTTACACTTAATGACCATCCATTGCTCCGATAATTGTCTTTTATAATATGTGGGAAGATATTTTTCTCTCAATTTAGCTTTCATTTCAGCCCACAAATTAATGGGTGCCTCACCTAGACGCTCAAATGTTTCATTGGACCCCTTGCCAATAACGCATCTTGGTAAAACGAACACGCTAGGTATCAAACATGTTATACCAATCAAAGTAGTCCTCCATATCCACTAGCCAATCTAGGAAAGCACTAGGGTTTAATTACCGTCATAGCTAGAGACATCCACTTTGACCTTCTTTGCAATTTCACCATCCTCAAGGAAAGCTCTTCAATCATCCTAAATCCTACCTTGATTATGTGGAGGGAATATATCCTAACGCCTACCACAATATTGTCTATGCCTAGGATGATCCTCAAAGTTACTTTCTTGAAATTCATCCTCATCATCTAGTTCTTGTGGATTGTCAATACGGTACCCACGGCCTATAACCCAACTGGTTCGCATTTCTGGAAATATGTCCCAAGTTTGGAACTTGACTCTCCCTGTCCATGTTTTTTGGTATAAAGTCGGTTGGGTGATAAATGGAACCAATAACATGACCAGTACTCGGGTCAAACAGTTTGACTGTATAGGTCTATGACGTTTTTAAAACCTTGGAGGACAGAAAAGAAGTCAAAGAGAAGAAGTCAAAATTTTCTATTTCTCAAAAATATAACATAACCCCTATACATAATGTTAGGCTTTATAAGAAACTAAAAATTGAAATTTACAAGTAAGAATGCAGGGCACACCAGTCTCAATGTGATCTCCATCATGGGGTGGGGGACTAAGGCTCAACTTGGAAGCTCATGTTTAAAAGCATAATGCACATTTTCAATAGTTGAGGTACCTTATGTCAAAAATGCATGTTTCATACATTAATTGAAGTAAAGTTCCCATTAAGAGCCATCTAAATACCAATTCTAAGACTTCTCAATATGATGCTTTTAATTCATCTAGATATTCTTCTCATACGAAATATAAGCATTTGCACATATCTATAGTCTACACCTCATTTCACGTCTTTCTTTTCTTTTTGATCAGAAATTTTCAAGTTTTTTTCTTGAAATATGAGATTTGATGAGGCTTAAGCCTCAGGCCTCAAGGTTTACACTTCATGCATAAAAAGATCCAAGCACCTTACCTCACACATCTAAGTTAAAAGCATAGATTCTAGCAGTTACATCTCAGGCAAGTAAAGGTTGAAGATGATTCCATGCTGACGGTGGGATGGATAAATAGCAGCAGCCAAGGGATACGGAGTTAAAGAAAAGTTTTTGAAAGAGATTAGACAGTTAGTCATAGAGGTTGAGACTTCATTTATATGGGTTAATAGATCAGCTAATGATTTGGTGGATGCTCTCTCCAAGCCAATGTTTTAAAACGCAGAGGCGTGATGCGAAGTGTTCCACTACCAAGAGGCGTGAGGCATAGTTCAGAACGCAAGAGGCGCAAGCCTCCCAAACACAAGAAGGTGTAAGCCTCCTTAAGAGGAGAGGCATTAGGAGGAGGATGAAGAAGAAGGGGGGATCTCATTTTTTCTTTATTTTTAATACAAATCTTTTATATTAAGAAGAACAAAGATGCATAACATTAGTTGAACCCCCTAACTCAAAAAAACAAATTGGGCTGCATCAAAAAGGGGGTGGGGGGTCTGGGGGGCGAAGCCCCCTAGCCGAAGGGGCAGGGGACAAACCACTTTCTTTCCCCTTATCTTTTCTTCCCTTCCCTTTCCTTTCCTTTTCTCTTTTTTTCTTCTCTTTCTTTTTCTTTCCCTTCCCTTTCTTTTCCTTTCCTTTCCTTTCCTTTTTTTTTTCTTTTTTCTTTTTTTTTTCTGTCTTTTTATATCAGATGTGCATGAGGCGCATGAGGTGTACACCTCTTGCACCTGAGGCGTACGCCTCAGAGGTGTCAGAGCCTCTGGCATACGCCTCAGGGCGTTTTGGGAGCTCTCCAAGCAAGGGCATCCAGGGAGCAATTTTTTGGACTTCTTTGATTGCTTGGTGACATTAAGGTGTTGGATCAGTGGGAGCCATTTTTGTAAAATCAATTTGTATAAGTTTCCTTTGGTTTAATAAAAGTCATTTTGTTACTAATTAAAAAAAGCAGTGATTCTAGCTGCTAGAAATTAAATTTACAAAAAAGAATTGACATATGGGAACTAAATCATTTTAAGGCTGTGTTTGGTTTAAAGGTAGGGAAAGGACCCTTATCATTTGTACAGGTTTCCCTTCCTTTCCCTACCTTTTCCTTCAAACCAAACACAGCCTAAGGTTTAATGAGTTTGATCATCATGGTAAATGTGCATATTAGTAAGAAAATAGGAACCTAATGATTGGAAAAAAAGCAATGTGTGATGAAGAACAAAAAATAAGTAAATATAATATTGTGCCTACTAAACCAATTATATGGAAAGAAAAACTCAGAAAATGAAAACAAAAATAATAAAACAATTGCTTACTGGATCACTTCTAAAGAAGACCAATGATGTGCGTGTTAAAACAAACCATCTTTTCTTCCATGATGTCCATCCTATTCCTGATATGGGGAACTACAAAGTATTAATTACTGATAATGTCATAATCCTAACTAAAAGAGAAATTTTATTAACTATAGAAATGAGCAAAAGATTGTAAATGCGACAAACAGAGTAAAGAGGCAAGAAGTGTACAAAACAATGGGTGTGAAGACAACAGAAGAGAGCAGGCAAAAACCTTGCATGGCAGAGGATTTTATTTTGTAAAGAATTGGGATGATCTGGCTATATGTATCCTTTGTGTAATTTGTAGAGAAGACAGGTTGTTTCAGAGAACTGAGTATCTTTTGTGCAAGATTTCCTTGCCCTCTCTTTTGTTAACATTTTTTATCAGTAAAAAGATTTCACTAAACATTCATGAATTTAGGACAGTCATTAAAGGAATTTCCCACCCCATACATCATACTACAACTTTGCCCAAAACAAGAAAGGCCTGTCAACTCCCTGTTTTGCTAACACATCTGCCATCCCATTGGCAGTCCTTGCCCAGCTTAAAGTAGAATTAAACCTCTTTGCTAGGGTATCAATTTCCCTAAAGGCATATCTGTATTTCCAAGGGGCTGAGTTGATTTTCTTGGTCCAATTGATGACTAGTTGTGAGCAATTAAGTGTCAGAAATGTCAATACTCAAGTGTATCGGAAAGGCAATTCTAAGAGACGTATCGGGATACTCCTTGGATACACATGTGTATCGAAGAAAAATTAAGATATGCATGGAAACAATATAAATACTTCAACAAATCATAAAAATACATCAATAACACTAAATATATGACCTTAATGAGGTATGAATACATTAAATTAATATATTTTAATGTGTTTTATGAAGAAATGCACCGTAGTCAATTATAATTTTCACTAAAAAACACTATGCTTAACTATAACTCATAGACTATAATTCTTAAGTTTTAAGGGATGGGAAAAGCCCAACTATCCTATCCAACCATAAAACATGCATTGGCATAACTTCTAAGTGAAAATATAATTAATAATTATTTTTTATAATTAATTACTATCTATTTTTTGTCAACTAACATAAAATAGAATAGCAAATAAAGAAGAAAATAAGAAGAAATAGAGGAAACACCAAGATTTAACGTGTTTTGGCTTGGGAGCCTACACCCACGAGAAGAGAGGGAAAAATGTCTATTATGAGAACAAGAGATATATGGTTGACCTCTCTGCATACTCACAACCAAATATCCACTCTCACTCCACCCTAATCTCACACAACCAATGACTTAAGTAAGCAAAAGATCCAATTATATCAGAATTTCACATAGGCCCCTCTTCCTCCCATAAATACATACAAGTCCCCAATATTTATCAACATTACAAATATACCCTTATAACTTTCAACACCCTCCCTGAAAGTAAACCCAAATATGATCAAATACAATATATTTCTCTACACCCACCCTCAAACTCAAGGTGGGGAAACCAGCTTGAGTTTTCGAGTAAGGATGTTGAAGCAACTTCCATGAAAATAGGTGTACTATTGAAGCAACAACCATGAAAACTTGAGATGTTGAAGGGGCCTCTTAGAAACCAAAGTTGGATGTTAGAAAGCTGAATGAACTCATGTTGGAAAGCCAAAGTAGAGCCAAGTCAAGGTCTAGTAATCATCAAACTAAAGTTGGCCAATAGAAAGCCAACACATATCATGCCAAAGAATCAAATTTATCCATCATAAGGCTAATCACAATCAGCGAATTGAAGAACCAACCATTTCAAACAACTAGATCATCAAAAATGCTAATATAATACCCAAAACAGAGTTGCCTAACGGAAAGCCAACTATGCTGAACTCCATAAACCAGAGCAAAAATTTAGAATTGATCAACGGAAACCCAACTATGAACTCCATAAACCAAATTGAGGAATCGAAGTTGCCAATCAGAAAGCCAACTAGATAAAGTGAATCAAAATCACATGTCACCAAAGGAGATCAAGACTCCAAGGATTTCTTCAACAGTAACTAAAAACTGATGAGCATAATAAAGGATCATTGCTGAAACATTTCATCAAACATCTTCCATGCAAAACATGTGAGGTAAACAAACCAAATATTAACTGATGATAATAGATCCATAATTCACCAATCTTGAGAGAAATATTGTATTTGGTTGTATTTGGATATATTTGTAATATTGATAAATTATGGGGACCTATATCTCTTTATGGGAGAAAAAGGGGCTTCTGTGTAATTCTGATATATTTTGGTATCTTGCTTATTTAAGCTAGTGGTTGTGTGAGTTTAGGTTTTGAGAAAGAGTGAGTGAGGAAGAGAGTAAGAGTGTGTGTGTGTGTAGCCTTTCCTCCCATGGATGTAGCCTACCAAGCCGAACCACATTAAACCTTGGTGTTTCTCTATTTCTTCTTCGTGTTTCCTCCTTGAGTTGCTTTTATATTTTATGTTGGTTGACAAGGTATCAAAGCTATTTTATGTTGTTTAACATGGTATCAGAGCAGGTGATCACTAAATGTTGTTAAAATTCGTAATGGCGTAGTGTTCATTGCAAAAAGAGGCAGTTTTGGTTTTCTTTCTATGACATAATTTTGTTAGGATTACTACTGATTGCATGTCTATTTTTTTTATGGAATTTGATTTTATTTGGAAGTAAAAAACAAAAAAAAAACATGGGAACAGAGCAGGTGTTCCAGTTGCTATGAAGGTGTCCTGTTGCTATTTTTCATGTTCAGTTGAGGTGGTAGTCAACTACTATGAAATCTCTTCATGTAGTAGTCGACTACTAAGAACAGGATACTGATAGTAGTTGACTACTACAAAATCTCTTCATGTAGTAGTCGACTACTAGCCTTAGGATGCAGTATTTTGTGAGTTGGCATTAGTTTTGTGAGTTGAAAAAGGGGCTTTGATGCCTCAAGTTGTGGTTGTTTGTTAGTTGATTGAAAAAGGGGTTTCAATGCCTCAAGTTGTAGTTGTTTGGTGCTTGGTTGGAAAAGAGGTTGTGATGTCACAAGTTGTAGTTGTTTGTGAGTTGATGATGGTTATGTGAGTTGAAAAATGGGTTTTGATGCCTCAAGTTGTGGTTGTTTGNGTTGAAAAATGGGTTTTGATGCCTCAAGTTGTGGTTGTTTGTGAGTTGATGATGGTTTTGTGAGTTGAAAAATGGGTTTTGATGCCTCAAGTTGTAGTTGTTTGGTGGTTGGTTGGAAAAGGAGCTTTGATGCTTCAAGTTATGGTTGTTTGGCGGTTGGTTGGAAACGGGGCTTTGATGCCTCAAGTTGTAGTTGTTTATGAGTTGGTGAGTTGGAAAAGGAGCTTTGATGCCTCAAGTGGTTGGTTGTGATTTTGTGAGTTGGAAAAGAGGTTGTGATGCCTCAACTTGTGGTTGTTTGTAGGTGATGGTTTTGTGAGTTGAAAAATGGGCTTTGATGCCTCAAACTGTGGTTGTTTGTTGGTGGTGGTTTTGTGAGTTGAAAAATGGGCACTGATACCTCGAACTGTGGTTGTTTGTTGGTGGTGATTTTGTGAGTTGGAAAAGAGGCGGTGATGCCTTTAGTTGTGGATGTTTGTGAATTGGTAATGGTTTGTGGTGTGGTGATAATTTTGTTGGTGAACGTGTGAAGCTCCCTTGATGTATCGGTGAACTGTTGCTTCAGAGGTCCCTTCAACACCTCAAGGTTCATGGCTGCTACTGCTTCAATAGTGAACCTATTTCCATGAAGGCTAATGGGCCTTGTCTTTATAGTAATGGGGTAGCTAAATAATTTAGAGGTCACTTGGATCTACAAGAATGAACACAAGAAATATAAATGGCTGACAAGAAACATGACTGTTATAGTACAGTGGGTGGGGAGATCAGCGAATGCCCTTGGGGATACTTTGGAAAAACAAGGGACAAATAGGGAAACACTATTTTGGGCTAAACTGTAATTTTATAGTAGCACACATGTATTCTTTGCTATAGTTCTTTTGGTTCAAGTTTTTTGTGGGTTCCATGTCTTTGAGAGGTGGCAACTCGTGCCTTCCCAAGGGCCTATACTAATGAAATGTGATATATTATTTATCAAAAAAATGAGCCATGTCTTTATGGGCCTATTAACTTTTCTTATTTTATTTTTAATTATGATTATGAGCTGGCTGCCCATTTAAGGGCAGATCTGTAATTGTCCTTATTGAGTTAAGTTTAATAAAAGATTAGAGGAGAAGAGGAGAAAGTGATTGAACAATCTTTTTCCTCTCCTTTCTTCATCTACTTTTTCTTTTCTCTACTTTTTCTCTTCTTTCTTCTCACCTTTTTCACAAATAATCTAAGATTTATTTTTTGATTTATTGGACTGAATCACATCTTGGTATCAGAGCATCGTTCCTTTCTTCCTTCTTTTTCTTTGTTTCCCATACACCCTTCGTTTAGAAGAGTGTATGGAGAGATAGAATGCTGAATGTTTTGAGATCATCTGAGCCTAGTTGGTAGAGAGTTTGGAGAGATAGAAACTGACTTGGATTGCAAAGAAATTGAGGCTGTTGTATTTTGCCCAAAACCCTAGCCGACTAGAGAACTTTCTAGTTATAGGTTAAAGAGACAGTTTGACAGTGGCACTCAGGGTTTGGAAGGTCACTTTTAATCCCTAATAGAAGGCGGTTGAGGTTGGAGACTGTTTGGAGAGCTCTAGCAAGAGTGGCAGTTGTTCTTCCATTTCTCCCATGGAGCTAAGTGTAGTGAAACCCTAATTTTGGGGACCTTCTTGTGTGAGACTGGTTATAGTTGGGTCCATATAATCCAAAATCATTATTTTTGGATTTTCGTTTGACAAATGGAGTAGTTTGGAAGTGAGATGAAGCAGAACCCGATGTTCGTGGTTGGTCCAGCAGATTTCGTTCCGACTGGGGTGACAACAATTAAGCTGGATGGAACAAATTACTTGGTCTGGATACAGTCCATACAGATTTATGTTTGCAATAGAGGTAAATTAGGCTATCTTACAGGCAGTAAGGAGAAGCCAACAAAGACTGATCCTACATATGAAAAATCGA